GTTCAACGTTCAGGTTATAAGAATACAAAAAGCACAGCAATGGTGATCATCATCATCATCATCATTGCCTTTCTCACCCTGCACCAGGGTATAGGCTACGGACTAACACCTTCTAGCTTTCTCTATCCTGGGCAAGCCTCTTGATGTTATTCCATGTCTTCCCACTTTTCTGTCATACAAGGTGCGAACATTCCACGACATCAATGGCGATACTCTCTATAATTTGTAGAAAATAAAATCCATGTAGATGTTTTACGTCAGCATCGACACAAGTTCGTTATCTAGGAGGCGGGCTGCATTGGGCTCCGCCTGGCTGGACAATCTCAAGCTGAGAGGGATACACCACCCCACCAGAAAGACGGAGATACTCGGAAAAGTCAACCTTAATTCCTGACGGTAATCGAACCCATATCTTCCGCGTTCGACGGCAAAGCGTCTAACCGCTACACACTAGAGAGGATCGAATAATATGTACCCTTCGCAGTATGTTGGATTAAAACATATTTTATTAACCAAAATAAAGCTCCTCAAGGAGTACATCGGCTTTACAATTGTACACGGCTGTCAAGCGTGGACAAAAGACGCCAAGGCAAAGAAGGTTGCCGAAAGGTCAATCGTACTGTTTTACCCACCTAGGGCCTTGCTATAGCGCCTCAAAAGCCTTGTAGCTCCAGCCAACTAAAGAAGTGGATGCAGACCAAGGAAGACCCAAGTCCCGTGGGTGTTCTGCATCACGGTATCTAGGACAAGGGCAACGACCGTTGAACATTATTAACCTCTTTGGATAGAGGCTAGAGGTAAGTCACCAGCTACTGACTAACTGGCCCATAGTATTAACGCTCAGTGTGGCTCGCTACCGCCCATGTCTAAGTCGCCCATAGTCACAGAAAGGATGCTCAGAGCTTTAACGTAAGCTTATCAGCTTATTCTAATATTTACAAAAACATATACCACGTAGAACTAGATCTACTATTGATTAGGACCAGAGTCAAAACACTTGAAAAGGTCTCCATCGGTAACATAGTTGGGCTCATTTGATCGATCCTCCTCCGTTCTGGCCGGCCGCTTCTACTTTCTAGAGCGAGGCCATTGTTGGTGCCATGCTATAACATCACTTCTGTCAACAGGTAGTAAGTACTGCAACTAGTGCTAGATTACGTTTCCCAAGTAGCCTAACAAGGATAACTGTGATCTGACACTTCGAACAAACCCCTTGTACCAGTCCTAACATCTACTTTCCATCGTCCCCCCCCCCCCCCCTTCCTCTATTTGTCCTCTATATCTATGAAAAATCCTTGTGACAAGGACAATAGGTTTGGATGTTAGAGGGACATTTCAAAAGTAAGTTTTTCACTTTCATAGAATGAAAACTGCATGCATTTGAATATAAAATGATATAAAAATTTGGCACAACATACCTTCCATAATGGCTCCTCAACGTAACCGCGGTCGGTATAAGTGAACTTTTAGATAGCCATAACCAACCGCCAAATGCAGTGAGGTAGCTTAAGTGAATTTGTTCACGTATCTGATCTCCACTTTTGTGGCAAGTTAATTATATAGATAATGTCTTCTTTGGATTCAAATCTTCATCCATGAAGACGTTCCTTCATCTTGGGGAAAAGATGGAAGTCACAGAGAGACAAATCATGTGTATAGTGTATAGGTGTAGACGCCTTAACGTTTCCCAGGTGAAGTAACAGTCTAAAAGTCCTGCCGCAATCCCGGCTTTTAGTTTAGTTTTAGTAGAGGTTTTACGGCGCTCGAAACTACTTAAGGTCATACGAGAGCCAGGGGGTGGATGTCAACAGAGAAGTCCAAACGGGGAATCAGGCTTACTCTGCTCACCTCCCTAGCCTCAACAGCACACAGTCTGCTTCGACTATGAAGGCACCCTGGAAATAGCAGTTCACAAGAGAATGATAAACATACAAAAGAAGTAGAGGAATAATGGCGATAGTAAGGATGAGGAAAGAAAAAGCAGCAGTTCCCCCTATGTTGTTCCGGCACAGTATGAAAATGACACTGATAAATCAGCCAATTTACAATTCTATTGCGCATAAAAACATGTTAATATCCCCCCATTTAGGAATGGCCTAAAGATATACTGCCCTTGGGGGAAAAGGGGGGGGGGGATTCCGGCTTTGTGGACATGAACATTGTCCTGGTGGAACACAGCTCCAGACTCCAAGCAGACCAGTTCGCTTCTCCTGAAGAGACTGTCTTAATTTTTGTTGCATGTCCTTTCCATAACAGTGGGTGTAAAACACTAAAACCTGTTACTGTTGTTCATTTACTTGTCGTCATCCAGTATTTTAAGAACTTTCAGGATTTTGTCATCATCAAAAGCTGTGGCAGGGGTCGTCCAGGCAGCATCTCGTCATCCATGACTCCTCTCTCTGTCTCCTTACTGTTTTCATGGCCTAAACAGAAGGAACATATTTTATTCTAGAGGGCAGCCAGACGGTCTTAGTGTGTTTCTAAACTGACTAGCGCAGATGAACTGAAATTTTTACGATAACTTGACTGCTACAGGCTATATCTTGAAAAGAAAAATATTTCATCTTTTGAGTCTCTGTTTTGCCGGCCGGCCATTGTGTTCTAAGTGGCCTAACAAATGCCATGTCATTCAATAGTTGTTTTATATTTTGCTACACAAAGCTTAATTTCATAGCTGGACCTATAGCGATACACATTTTATTGGGGCTGTTACTTAAATCTGCACGTAAGTAGCCATGAATGAAGGCCGTTTTGCAGCCTATGAAGCTATGAAGGCGAGTTCGACGTCCCTCGTAGTACCTGAACAGCCTTTTCAAGGGATGCACTGCTCACCCTCTAGAGAAACAGGGACTACAGGACATTCCCAAAAGACCAGCGCGGAGCGGAGAACCGCTCTTGTCACCAACAAGCTAGCGCGATACAACAATCTCTTATTGTTGCTCTTACCGAAACCAGGTTAACTGTTGAGGAAAAAAAAAACCCACAAGCGCGGAGGATATTATTTATAAATACATGTAATAATGCAAAGATAGTTCTGAAGACCAGCTGGATGGAGTCGAGTTGGACACGTAGTTGACGTAGGCCCCTACCAGTGGTGTGAAAGATCAGTTCTACAGTAATCTTGGCTCTGTTATACTCGTTCAGTCCCAGCATGACAATATAATAATAATATAAAGCTCATTGTACTTGGCGACTTTAACTCTTTTTTTGGTAAGTGTTTTACCGCGCTCGCAACTGCATAAGGTCATATGAGCGCGCGGGACAGATTTATTTTTTTTCAGTTGGCAGGAAATTTTGAATTTTGCCCGGGTGGCGGCCGAAGCCTACTCTTATCGATTTTAGACCACCAAGGGATCTTTAATGTGCGTAACTTGCACAGGGACCCTCCGAGACTTTTCACCCTTGTCCGAGAAGGCTAGGTGTAGATCTTTCCTACCAGAAGATCAGGGGTGTGGCTGAAAGACAGCAGTAAGAAGAATCAAAGGAATAGCGGTAAAAAGCATGCAGAAAGAGTCCGGAGCCCAGAGGAAGGGGCAAAGGAGGTGAGGGGGTGGGGGGACAGAAAGATGAGACGAAAGCAGACGACAGAACATTGTTAGAGAGCAGGAAAGGAGGTGAAAGGAGACAATTTTAGAGAAGAAAATATTTCGGTCACTACCTGAATTCGAACCCGGGACTTTTGAATGAGAGGCCAACACCTTAACGTCTAGGCCACGAGAGCTCCAACTACTCTAATACCAGATGACACCGACTCGTCCATATGACCTGGCGCCATTGTCTGTGTCCTTGTGGGGTTAGAAAATACAACAGCAATGGTCAGCTTTTGTTTGAGTGTCGATTAAGATTAACATTCATCGGGACAAATGTCAGCCCGTGGTGCATGCACAGCTAGCTGAACACGTCATTTCAACAGAGTCGAGTTTGTTGAAGTAAGAATACTGCTACATGACTGAGTGGAAGACATAAGAAAATGGCGAAATGGACTGTTAGGTTATTTAAAGAGGCGGCAGCTGGATGTAAGGATACAACTAGAGTTCCTAACCAAGAGCGAGTAGTCGTGTCGCAGTGAACTCCTCGCCCCTACACACGAAAGGTTTTTGCGTGGTTCCTGCACATGGATTCCGTTTTGCATATAATATATCTGTCTTTCTGATGGACACAAAAGTCGAACCTGCTCTTCTTAGGGCCATCTGTACAAGACAGTCATCTGTCCAAATGACCACTTCCCACCCCATCCTTCAAGAAAAAAAAGTATTTATAAATCCCTTTCCAAGACGCCCTCCGTTCTAAGACAACCACTTTTCTCCTCGGAGTCCTCGACAATGGGCGGTCGGGGCGGCTGTCTGGGACAGTTTTTCACCGTACTATGCCCTTGGCAGGAAAGGTCAAGCAACCTTTTGTAGCTTTTAGTTTAGTTTAAAGTGAGAGCTTTACGACACTTGAAACCACAAATTAAAAGTAGACTATAAGTAAGTGCCGAAGATTAAAAGATGTTACTAGAGAGTAACATAAAGAAAAGGAGGAGGGATAAGAATGACAGATGTTTAGTTTTCGTAAGAGTTTTACGGCACTTGCAACACAATAAGGTCATACAAGTAAGTGCCTAAGATTAGGTGAGTTACAAGGGAGTAACAAACACAAAAAAGAAGGAGAGGAGAAGGACACTAGATGTTAGATAAGAAAGAAGGAGCAAACCACACACAGAGTATCCGCCAAACACTCACATCAGCCTTCTAAAAAAAATTATAATCTAAAAATCTAAATACACAATCGTGTCAGGGGACGGGGGAGGAGGGGGGCAGCAATCATTTATTTTATTCCTTATAAGCTACACTGTGTTGAAAGCAGATTATTAAACTAAAAACCTGAAAAGAGGAGTAAAAAGACAGAAATGTTCACCACACATTTACCCTGGATACTGTGATGTGTAAACAGAGACCACAAAACAACTGAAAAATAACCAATCCTCCCCTTAAAAGTCAAAGCAAAACAGAAAAACCTTTTCTCTGTTACAGTCAAATATATCAATGTTTTTATTTACAATTCATTTTCTTTTAATTGTACAAATTTCACAAAAACGGTTCTTAAAGTAACAAAAATAACAAAATTACTGTTACCAATTTCCATACACAGAAAATCCAGTCAAATGTTCTAATTTAACTCATTAACAGTATTTCATTCAAATACGAAATACGAATAGCCTTTATACAAACACTTAAATTAACTACACGTAGCCTTCATACACATACATTAAAACGTAGACACTAAAACATAGAAAACAAACCATGAAACTCCATTTAAGGGAAAAAAATGTACCTGTGTGTGTAGAGCCATGGAATAAAAATCTATTTGCACCAATCAACTAAGTGAATGTTACAATTAGAAGCAAATATTCCACCTGAGTATTTCCAAAGCTTGTTTACCACAAGTGAACGGCAGTGATCAACAAAGATAGTGGGAAGGATGACGTGACAACTGAAGGATGAGGACCATTGAGAAAGGCCTTTATCTCTGTGAGTGAATATCAAGTACATTGTGTACCCCTTAGCTACATTATACTATTATTAATTAAATATCATTATTTATCACGTGTCTGTGAATCCAGAAGCAAGCTCTTTTGCTCCGAGTGTACTTTTGGTCTTAAAACAATTCATTCTTACACTTTCTTTGAATTGCAAGAAAAACATGCAAACTATTTATAGCAAAAGCTTTTAAGTAGAGGGGAAGAAAAAATGCACCGTAGACATATAAACGAACGTAAAGTTCGTTCAGACTTACTTAAGGCAGGCATATCCTTTCGACCTAAAACCAACAATCGGAGACCATGCTCTCCCAGTCAAGAGGTCAACTACATGGGTCCGAGCTAGATAAACTGAGAATAACAACACATAACCCAGCAAGCCTTCAGGCTCCTGATAAGATAAAGCGCTGTCTGCGCATATTCTCTCCCGAATAAGAAATCCCCAGCAAAAGTTTAAAACAAGACACTATTGTGTGACTATCAAACTGTTTCTAACAATCAGAATCTCCCTCTTCCTCACACTCACACACCTCACACTCACACATGTGTTTCAAACTACCAAAACATTTTTGTATGGTATCATAATTTTTCTAAGCAACCCTGCAAACACATCTAGCTGAACTCATACAACAACTAAAAACCACCAAAAAAACCACAAACAAACCAACATTTGTATGGCGCATGAGTGTTTCCACATGATGGCAGAGGTGACAATACAATCACTTATAAAATAATAGTGAAAATATGGCAGATAACAAGTTCAAGAAGAGCACTAGACTCTTTGTCTCAAATCTGATCATGACATCACTTCATCACTCAAGATGGTATGAGTTTAATGCCCCTTTCCCCGCTATAAGTTTGTTAAAGACGCAGAGCCTTTGATGTGATGTCCACTTTTGATAGGACCGAATCAAGTGTGAGGACAGAAAAAAACAACAACATGAACACTCTATTAGGATTTCAGTTCTGGGACACCTGTATCATCAGAGGGTTGGTTACTTTAGTAACAGTGCCCCTATCAACGATCAACTGACACAATCTTCTCTCCAAAAACCAAAGAATACTGCCCCTTTCTTTGAGGTCTGTCCATCACACTAATACCTCATATTTACAATACTGAAAAAATCTGAAGCAATATATCCTCTTAATTAAGTATCACAGAGATGGAATACTATACTTTGTGTTTAACTCTCACACACAATTCATAAGTCAAGGTCAATATTTTGATAATTCATGATAGACCTATGTAGATCTGCTGTCCTTTTGCTTTTACTTGAGTACACATTTTTATGCATTCACACTCATTCTTCAGACACATAGTAGACCAAATTCATTGTCAAAAGAAAGCCTACACATCTACCAATGTAATATTTCACCTGCATAAAAAAATGAAATATTAATGCACTTTCATAAACCATAACCAGAACAGACTATAACATTCACATAAAATGTCCAAATGGCACTAACATTGAATAATGTGCAAACAAGATCAAATCTGCTTGCTGTTCAAAAACAAAAGAACAGCCCATGAAAAACCCCAAATATGGCAGAAATGATGGGCATTGTAGCGACGTGGATGGGGAAAAAAGCCGCCCGAAGTGTTTTATACATTATCATACAGAGGAATCATAAAAAGAACTATGAACAATGTAGTTAACTGAAGAGGCAGGACTTCCAAATTTTCCAATTTTTAAACTTCCTGAGCACCTCAGCTTGGTATGACAACAACTTCTAAACCATTGAACAGCATACAAAAACTACATGAGGCAGGCATGAAGAAAGACCTTTCTATGGCACTATATCTTGTCTTTGGGAAAATCTCAACCAAGCTTGTCAATACATATCTTTCACCTTTGAAAACCAGATTTTAAAACTGTCTAAGAAGAGAACAGCTTGTTTGATTTGCCAGCAGTTGACTGTCAATTCTTCCCCAAGGAATGTTAGTATTTTGCAATATTTGTCACAAATTTTTTAAAATCTAACAAAAGAGCTTCTCGTTTCACCAACATGTCTCCTTTGCCAAAGCAGTCCCTCACATCATCTATATTTATTTAAATAAGACTGTATTTCATCTCGAGATTCAAACTCGAATTTCCTGGGTGTGAATGCAAAATGCCTTACTGCTACACCACAGATGCCCGTTTACGGATGTGTATAGATTTGTTCGTATCTTATTTCTGTACAGGAATAAGGTAAAATAATACAACACAATTATTGTGACAGATGAGTTGAATTAACTCAATAAAATCAGTGACACTGACACAACATGGATGATTGCATTCAAACCTAAAGAAGGTAGACCCAAGACAACATCCCAACATTCCATTCAGATGTCAAAGCTAAGAGTACATAAATCAGATGTTTCTAAAAAAAAAAAAAGGGGGGGCACTCTCAGTAGGGGGATGAAAGAAAACAGATACAGAACTGGCTCTATCCTTCCTCAGGTCTCGGCAAGCTAAGCAAAAGTCAGCACAGACTTCGTTTTACTTTTGTGACAAGCCACGGAATTCTCTGGCAATTTCTTGCCTCTGAGGCTGCCTTGATGAGAGGACTGTGATCAACCAGAGGCCGATGGAGTTCTTGTGCGTCGGGCTTGCAAAACGTTCCTCTTAATATCTTGAAGTTCATCATTACGAATCACTGTAGAGGAAAAAGAAAAATTCTGTCATTACTAACTAGTTACCCAAAGTGAACCTTTGCATTCTGTATCAGCTCAAATTTTTTAAAGTGTTGTAAAATAAAATAATAAAAGTGCAATTCATATCTGCCAGTTAAATGAACTGCTCTAATTTTTGCTTCTTTGTTTCGGAGCACCTTATGAGGATCAATTTTAAATGGTGGTTTAGCATATGATCTCAATGTTCTGTAAACTATAGCTCAAAATATAGACACCAATGTCTTCAAATCAAACCCATTTGTTTACCCATGCATAATAACGTAATTTAGATTGTCAAGTCGCCCATAGTGCTCACAGTGAAATACAAACAGGAATATATTTTCTCCAACCTCATTTAAGTAGTAAAGTATTTACATCCTTTATAACTAAGCAAATTACTGAAGAGAAAGCATACCGATTCAATTCACAGGAATGATATTTAAAAAGAAAGAAAATACAGTCTAGCATGCCCATAGCGAACAAATTTTCATGTCCCAAATTGTTATCTTATACACGATCATGATAATGTATTCTTTGTATTTAAAAACACATACACTGTGAAATTTGTACAAGATACAAAAATGTTTCCACATCCCGCCCACTTCGTTATTATGTGCCCGCTTTACTGTATAGGCAATTATATACACTCCATATAACTAAGTTTAAGCACATAAATACCTCTTCATCAAACCTAAATCATAGATTCCATATAACCAGAGTGTCTAAATAATATTGAGCTTCCACACTGTGAAAACAGCCCACAAAAGAAATGATAAAAGTTGCATCTAAATTGTCAGGCGTGAGTGGAATAGGAGTCGACATTTAAAATCCCCATACTACTTCTATTAAAGAAAAAGGAGGCATCTATATACATTGCCACGCAAATATGAACTAAGTTAAAGATTACATCAAATCTTATCTCTTTATCCCATGGGTTAATGGTACCTTTCAGAAACAATGGTTTCAGCGTCAAATCAAGATGCACTTTGCTCCCAATCCCAACCGTACACTGATCACTTCCACTCGTTATCACCACCCCCCCCCCCCCCCCTCCCCCAACACAACATACACAAACTCTACAAGCTGTCAAGATAATTCTACCTCTGAAATATGACCTTGGCAGTAGTCATATATTAATGTATGTATATATATACATATCATATTATACATGACTTCACTCACATCCTTCACATTTTGCTTAAAGAGATATAAAACAAATTATTAACCTTGAATCATAACAATTCAAGGCCTTGTTGCAGGGTCAATTCATTCTACGGTCCATGAATTTTGGACTTTGCACCACCCAATACCCTCATCCTGTTCCCATATTCTGGATTATAAAATTCAGTCTCACTCCGCAACACAGCCTTGGCAATAGACATTAGAATTAGACGTGCTGGTGCAGAGAGAATATGCATCTGTCATCACTCCTGTCTTTCACACTCCCAATGCAATAGCACAAAGTTAAGATTGTTAGCCTTGAATTAAAATTACCTCCTGGTCCCTTTACCCAAAACATTTGAACCTCAACCCCTACCTACCATCCCATCTCATTTTTGTTTACATATTCTCTGTCCAGCCTTTTCCACAAGCCTCATATATCTTGGCACTTGGTCATTTGATCTGACTTCATTTTGAGTGAAGAAAGTTCTGATTTTTCAGGTCAAGAACAGCTATTTTACACTTTTTTGCTGAAGAAGAGGGACTTTCCTTTTCAAAGTAAGATAAATTTTAAAACTTATTTTGAATCCAAAAAATATCTATCTAGTACTTCAACTGTGGGCAAAGATCAAATTCTTACTTTTGTATCTCTAAACTTCTCGTATTCCCTGTGTGTGATAAAACGACATATGTATGTGTGTGTGATTGTGAACATGTGTGTATGATATTTCTCCACGAATGTAAAATGTTTTAAGGGATCATATTGTCTACAAAACACAGAATTTTTTTTATAACTATGTTAAAGACCATGCGATTTTGCCTACTATTACTATACATATTTTATATCCCTTCACCTTACACACAGCAACACAACTGAAGCAACGTGTTCATCGTCCTATCTTCACTATTATATATTACACAGCAGAACAGAAGAAGGGGAAATGGAATGGTAGCAGTGTCTGGATCCATGTCCAGGAAAAAAATGATATTGAAAGAATACCCACTGTACCAAGATACCCATATTATTAATAATTATTAATATTAATAATAGTTCAGTGTACACGAACTGGGGGTGGGGGGGGGGGAGGGGTGGTTCATTGTCATTAACTCTATAGAGCATCAGAAAGCAAAGGCAGGTACTTACAAGCTTTGCAGGCTGAGAGAAGGGCACCGAGCACTGTGAAGACAACCACCAGGAAAAGCGTGTAAACGATACAAGAGATAAATGTGAGGAATCCTTTCTTCTGGAAGCAGTCCTGCATCTTGAAAGGGGCACCATATAAGTAAGAGTGCAGGCTTTTAGAATCCAAATCATTGTTGTTGTGATCGTGTCTCGTTCTCCTCCTCCTCCGAGAACCCCCAGGCTGAGCGTCACTTGACGACGCAGACCTCTCACTTCTGCGACTTCTTGATGTCCTTGTACACCTCGCAGAAGGAAGACTGTCAATACTAGCACCGTGAACACGGACAATGTTTTTACTTCTTCTAACTGGGCGGGCAGCCTGATCATCACAGTTAATACTTTCATCAGAAACAGTGGATTTGAGCGGAGTTTTCGAAGGCAATAAAGTCAATGCAGAGTCTGATAACACTCTGTGAGGGGACTGGGGTTTTGGGGCCATGGACACATTACTACTGACAAAGTCACTTTCTTCATTTGGACAGTCACAATTGGAACTGGAGTATTCACATTCCTTGTCACTAGAACAACTGTTAAAACCACTTTCATCTCCACACTGAGAACTTAAGTCAACACTCGGGATTCTCTCTGACTCCCGACAAAAACTGTCTACACCAGCAATTGAATTTCCATTTTCATCTTCAGCGTCCTCCTCCACCCCTTCATCTTCTAAAACATTGTTGTTCACTTCGCAGACCTTCCCCACGAGTGGGCACTCACTTGTCTGCACACTGGCCTGTTCTGTGGGTTGGTCATTGGGCCGGTTGTTGATCACTGCAAGAGGGGACTCTGGCTGCTGAGATTGTGGCGCCAATAGGAGATTGGAATTCTCTGAGCTGTTGGAATTTGTAGTCTCAGAACGGATAGTATTGAGATTATTATTTCTGAGGTTTTCCTCCTTCAATAGTTGTCTTCTCCCTGCTGGCTTTTTAGCAATAACGTTGATGGGGAACTTCATGGTGATGGATTCTTCAGTAAGCAGACCATTAAAGATTGTCGCTGAACAACAACCACAGCAAAAACTCTGTTGGTAAGGGAAGTGTAGGGCTAAATTGATCTGAAAAACAATGAAAAATAAGTAGTGTTAAATTCATACCAGAATTCTTAAAAAATAAAGACTTATTTTTAAAAATACCATTACAAAAAATAATTTGGACAGGCATACATTTGTGTCTCTATTGAATTTTAGAAATTGAGACCATAATGGGGGGAAAAACTGACGGTAGGCCTAAACTTTACTGAATATTGAATTAAAGCAAACTTCATACTTGACCCTGAAGTCTTTTTCCTCTTCCTCCCCAGCACTCGAAGTGTTCCTAAATTATTCCAAATCCATTTTTTTTACGAACAAGAGAACCGACCGAAATAGACTCACTACAAACATCTTGTGGGATAAGACAAATCAATTGTTATCATTTTTAATGTATGAAGTTTTGCGCTGGATCTACTTGCAGCACAATTAGATCACCATAAACACACAGATTAGAGATGTCACCACCGAGTAACATACAAAGAAACAGAAGATAGGACCTAGATCTATGGGTGTTAGATATATTTGAGAGCGAAAAATATTAGCTAATATTAATGTCTATCTGAGGAACATCATTGATTGAATTTTTTTAAAATGACAAACGATTAATTAACGGAAACCTACAGCGGAATATATCCGTTAAGCTGCGCGCAGAAGTCAAGATTCTAAACAAAACCCTTTTTCTCTTCAGGAGACAAATTAGCCTTGATGCACGATTGATCTGAAAGACTCCTTCCCGGCGCGGTGAGTGTATCGCAGGTCCGAGCTCCCATGTATAAATAATAGGCCTAGAGAACTGGAGTTTTATACATAATACATGTATTGTGCCACATAATGTAGATTCTAGTGTCTCGGGTCTCGATGCCTTTGCTCGACACAAAGGTGAACAATCGCTAATCGTGCCATGAGAGCCTAGATACAGCAACTGACAAGGTCAATCAGCTGGGGATCGAATTAACCCTGACCTCAGCTATTCACAAAGCGGAGCACTTGTTTTATAATACTAATAGTTTGATAACTGTATGAGATATTCCAAACTACATGCATTTGGTCTCCAACACAGCTGATAACTCAAGTGTTTCTTAGACACTCGGCTCTGCATGGTGACATGGCGGTATTGACAGGGCTGATTGACCTTGTCAGCTGCTGTATCTAGGCTCTCATGGCACGATTAGCGATTGTAATAACAAGGCAAGGGAAAATAGGAGATTTGGCAAGTACACACAAACGTTAAATCTACTTTCAAGGTCTCTTGAATCAAACTAAGACAATCGGCAAGGTGATATAATAGATAACAATGATGTTTTGTATGTTCTTTAATGCGCCCGTGTCGTCTAGACACGTATTGTTCAATTTGATTGGCGATCCATACAATAGATTAATAAATGATTCCCGGTGATACCCAAGGAGCTTTAAAACAAACTGTTAACTCCTTGGTGATACCGTAATAGGGGCCTACATGTAGTGGTGCGCGTGCGTGTGTACGTGGGAAGGTGAGGAGGCGGGGCGAGGAAGGGGGTATAACGATAAAGAAGCATGACCTCGAACAGCTGTTGCCAAATCTTGTCTCGTGAAATTGCACTGCTAGGCGCTACGACCTTGTATTTGATAACTAATCTTTCTACCAAGTCTGAGAACACTGACTGGAAGTCATAGTCATAGCCTAAAACGGAGGCGACCTTGAATTGCCGTTCCTTCGCGACCTTGAAACCAGCGCTTTTTTTTTTTTTAGTAACCAGCCTACGATCTGCGGTCACGCACCCCATCACTGTCGTGCCGAAACGAAAACGAAAGATTAGCCTAGACTGCAATACTGCCAAGATCTATTGGATTTTCTGGCTGTCACGAATTGCTGATATATAGGGGTAGAATAAAAGTTTCCTACTCGGCACTGGGGAGCTCAATTTTAGTTTGATCATTCGGACATTCGTACATCTCTGCAAATGAAATTATAATCATCTCAGACAAGACTGCCAAGAGACAAAAGCGGCGCATTTGCATCCTTTAAAAGAAAAGAAAGAAATATATATGCAAATGTAACACCATGACACCCGGCCAAAGATGACAGTTTTAATGATTATACTGATTTTAAAAGTGCATCAGTAGAAAAGACTGTGATAAAAAACAAAATATCTTTTTATACTTAATCCAGAAATTATCAGGCTCTAAAAAGTAGACTAAAGTAGAATCTAGTTTGTTCCTTGGCTCCTTTTCATGCAGAGTCAGTGTCTTACTTACAAATCAATACGGCCCAACCCCCCATACAAAATAAAATGTATTTTTACCC